CATCTATCTAACTATTTATTTATCTATCTATCTATCTCCTATCTATCTATCTATCTATCTATCTATCTATCTATCTATCTATCTCCTATCTATCTATCTATCTATCTATCTATCTATCTATCTATCTATCTATCTATCTATCTGTTCTTCTTTGTTGCACTACCGGCGGAAGTAAATGGAATGAAATGTATTGCCAGGCCTCTGCCTTACCCTTAGATAAAATCCTGATCCTTGTGTATGGGGAGGATGAAGGTGTTCATGGATATAACAGTGAGCTAAAGCAGAGACACCGGCACTCCAAATTTGCAAAATACGTCTATTTATTGACGTGCATCGTGGTAAAAAACAACGAACGTTTCGGGTCACAAAGGATCCCCTTCATCAGGTATAACATACACTGTATGTATGTCACTGTATGTATAACATACACTGTATGTATGTTACACTGTATGTTATACCTGATGAAGGGGATCCTTTGTGACCCCGAAACGTTCGTTGTTTTTCACCACAATGCACGTCAATAAATAGACGTATTTTGCAAATTTGGAGTGCCGGTGTCTCTGCTTTAGCTCACGATTGTTCCGGGTGCCATCCGTTGACTACCGCAGCACCCAATTCTTGAAGGGATTAACACGGTCAGGAGTGCGATGGGACCATGGATATAACAGGACGTCCTCCTATTAGCTGGCCACTCGTGTACATGTAGAGCCTCGGTTCTCAACTGGTGGGTGGCGCCCCTGTGTTCGGTGGGTCACCACGTGCTTTCCACTTTTCTAGGTGAGAGGCTCCTCTGCCTCCTCCTAGCGCAGCGCCGTCAGTTCCCGTGCCAAGCAGACATTCAGAATATGCTGCCCGGCGCCGAGTGTCAGTATGAGGTGGGGTGGGCTGGGGGTCTGGCCGCGAGGGAGCTCCATCCATATGTGCATTGGAGCCTGGAGAGGAGCCTGGACCGGAGTGACGTCACTTTCTGGCTCCCGGGAACCTCTACAGGGCGCACACGAGGGAGCTGTACAAGTAATGTACATATGAACGGAGCTCCGTCACAGCACAGCAGCCCCCACCGGACCCCAGGCTGAGGATCCCCTCCAGTTCTCATAAGGTAGAGAAACTGGGTGGACCTCGGAGTGTGTCTGTGTATGTATTTTGAGGGCCCGTTCACACTCGTACAGTGCGTCAAACTGTACCACGCAATCGCACCTACCGTGCATTCTGGTGTAGGAGGTGTGTTGCATTGCCATTCATTTGAACGGTCCCCCAAACGCACCTCCCACCCACAGTTCGTACCCCTGCACCAGAACGTGCGGTACCCTAATGCCCCGTGCTTTCCATTGCAGTGCGACTCGGGTCGCGACCTAATGACTAAGGACAAATGTGGGTCCTGAGGTTACACAGGTTGAGAACACCACGGATGTAGAGGATGGTGAAGTATGGGACAGATACCACCAACGCTTATCTCCGCCCCTCCCCCACCAGCTGAAAGTTGTGATAATCTCATCAGCTCAATTTTATAGACTAAAAATATAAAAAGATGACCTACAGCTTCTCTGTACTGTATGCGGGAGAACGTCGGCACCGGGGGCTGCTGTCAGTATTATTAGTCTGCTAGTAGAATGATTGGTGCAATGTCGCCCTCTGGTGTATGTTGGGAGAAATCTGACAGAACACAGAAAACTTTGTTACATACAAAGGTAAAAAAATAATAATAATAATATATATATTAGCCTGGACCGGAGTGACGTCACTTTCTGGCTCCCGGGAACCTCTACAGGGCGCACACGAGGGAGCTGTACAAGTAATGTACATATGAACGGAGCTCCGTCACAGCACAGCAGCCCCCACCGGACCCCAGGCTGAGGATCCCCTCCAGTTCTCATAAGGTAGAGAAACTGGGTGGACCTCGGAGTGTGTCTGTGTATGTATTTTGAGGGCCCGTTCACACTCGTACAGTGCGTCAAACTGTACCACGCAATCGCACCTACCGTGCATTCTGGTGTAGGAGGTGTGTTGCATTGCCATTCATTTGAACGGTCCCCCAAACGCACCTCCCACCCACAGTTCGTACCCCTGCACCAGAACGTGCGGTACCCTAATGCCCCGTGCTTTCCATTGCAGTGCGACTCGGGTCGCGACCTAATGACTAAGGACAAATGTGGGTCCTGAGGTTACACAGGTTGAGAACACCACGGATGTAGAGGATGGTGAAGTATGGGACAGATACCACCAACGCTTATCTCCGCCCCTCCCCCACCAGCTGAAAGTTGTGATAATCTCATCAGCTCAATTTTATAGACTAAAAATATAAAAAGATGACCTACAGCTTCTCTGTACTGTATGCGGGAGAACGTCGGCACCGGGGGCTGCTGTCAGTATTATTAGTCTGCTAGTAGAATGATTGGTGCAATGTCGCCCTCTGGTGTATGTTGGGAGAAATCTGACAGAACACAGAAAACTTTGTTACATACAAAGGTAAAAAAATAATAATAATAATATATATATAGATATACTTCTATATATAATATGAAAGTTGAATGAATAGGTCTGTGAAGGTTCTCATTCATCCAGGTCAAGGTATGGGGACACACATTTCAGTCTGCACATCATCTGGACAATTACAAGCGAAGGACAATCTATTCAGTTTCTGTGGAGTGGAGGAGAGAGGGATGTGTTTTGTAGTCCTGATACAATTCCTGTCGTAGGGCGAGTGTAGACATCCATACGGTGTGCAAGCCCATAAAAGGCCCCGATCCCGGTAGGGACAGGTACTGTGTTTAATTGCACACAGCAGCCCCTTCTTCTTCCCTATAGGAGGACCCAGCTGCACACAGTTACATGCTGCCACACACACATCTGAACATGCACATCTGTGTAGGCCCGGGTGTCCTCGCTTGGATGCAGACAGTGTGCATCCAAGTACCGACCCCCGGACCCGCACGGATGTGCATGTTCAGATGTGTGTGTGAAAGCATGCACACGCAGCACCTGTCCCTTCTGGGATCGGGTCTTTTTTATGGGTGTGCACACTGTGCAGATGTGCATGGCCATCTGAATGAGCCAGTGCTGCTCCTCCAAAGATACAAGGGGTATTTATCAAAACCGGAGCAGACAAAATTTGGAGCAGTTGCCCACGGCAACCAATCAGCTTCTCTCTTCAGTTTGTTCAGTTATGATTTGAAAATGAAAGAGAGAAGCTGATTGGTCGCCGTGCACAGCTGCTGAAAATGTTGTCTGCTCCAGTTTTGATAAATTCCCTTCACAGTGCAGTGAGTGAGCGTTATCACCGTAGGGCAGGAAGTGCGTTACTGGCAGGATCACCAGGTGAGAATAAAGGGAAAGAAGCCAAAAAAAAAAAAGTAATGCAGCCGCCACATCTAAGGGACTGGAAAGCTGCTGCATGTCGTTTCTTTTCTTGGCTTTGGATACACTTTATTACAGGATAACAAAGCGAATCGCATATATGGGCCATTACTGGGGTGACCTCCCTCTCCTTCTACACAGAGGCTCCATCTTGTGTTTGGGGTTTCCTACCCGCTACATTATGCAGGGTCTGTAGGTGAGGAAATGGTCAGAGAATGATGTGCTAGACTTCTGAAGATACAGAAAAAAAGACACAAAGTTTCAGAAGGTGACAAGAAGACGATGATGACCGGAAGATGCGGACACAATGTATCCCCGATGTATGTGGGAGGGAGAAGGTTGGATAAGGTAATACATTGGATTTTGCGTGGGGTACACCCGCTGGAATCCTCT